TAACTTTGTTAAGCCTGGTTCACACAAAGACAATCAGAAGTTAAAGACATAAAAAAAATGTAATGTCAATGTCTTTGTGTGAACCAGACTTTATTTACATGAGTTATCAGGGACAAAACAATTAAGTTGAAGTGTTGGACTTCCTATGCACATTCAATCCAAGGAACTATGGAACTCTCCTTGATTGTTTTGTGACTGATCACTCTGGTAAACTAGACTTACGATTTGGTTTACATGAACTTGACTAGAAGTCTCTGGATGACAAGTCTTGTTTCGACAATAGCCAACTCACCTCAGTAGTCAAACACTAAAGAATCAAGATGAGGCGCTGTGCACAACGCTCAGTCACTCTTGAAAAACTATTTCCTTTTCTAGAGTGACTAAGCTTTATGCACTGCGCATCGTCTGGATTCCTCTGTGTGCGACTACTGAAAGTGAATTTCACAGTTGGCAGCCGTTGACAAATCAAGACTTTATCCAGAGTCTTTCTATCAAATTTATGTAAACCAAATGTTAAGATACTTAAAGTCCAAGATGCATTTGAGAACCTATCTTAAATACAAAAATTCTATCTTTGATCTTGAACCAAAGAGAACAAAAACCAACAAGAAAACTAACGATGGAAGAGGGTCTCAGATGCACTTGGTCCTCTGCTGATAAAGGTATTATCCAGACTGTGAAATATTGAACCTTCATAACAACAAATGCCGTTAAGAGCTCATTGCGTTATTGAAAATRTATGCATCACATAAACTATCTGGAGAGAATGTTTTGGTTTAGCAATTGAGTTGTTGTATGACTATCCACACCCAAGACGCTTCAGAAAAACTAGTTCAGTTGCAAGTTTTCTTTCAAGCATAGAAACAATTCATATTAAAATGGATATTCGCCAATTCAGCACGAGGAATTTCATGCAAAATCTCTAAACATTAGGCAACTATAAGAGTTTTTCTCAACGTTTCACATGTGGACAATGATACACCACTCAATCACTTCTCCATTTCAAAGTCTGGTTATAAACACTTACACTTGTGAAATATTAGTCCAGTTTTATCTGGATGCAGACCAAAAATAGCTAGGACACACAGCATTACCCCATGAACACTAACATTAGAGTAATTTCCATAAAACTGTGAGAAGTGATAACTATAATGTAATAGGTGGTAATACAACAGGAAAAACAAAACATTGAAACGCTAGACAAAAGAGAACRGTACGCTTAAGTGTACTTCACAAGTTTATGAAAGCAACTCTTACTAATGCAGTGTAAAACTGGACATAATGCAGGCCAGCATATAATGGAAAATTGTGATTTAAGTCATGCATAAGACATGACGTCAGATGTAAAGATAGCATGTCAAGCATAGGCAAAAACAAGCAAAATAAGGTAAATAAGGTTCAAAAGAAACAGAAAATTAATTAAAGTCCTCTAAAGATCAAAAGGATGTCAACGCTTTCCTCAGTAAATGGTTTTTGCCTATGCTTAAAACAAACTAACAACAACAACAAAACACAAATGAGAAACTCTACCAGTGGGGAAGGATGTACTGTGACAGGGTATTCCAAAACTTAGGCAAAGTTCAAATAGGAGATAAATAAAAATTTAAAACCTCGCAATCTCATCAATGTATCAAATGGACATAAAATCCAAGAACATGGAATGAATAAAATAARATATAAAAATATGGAAAATACTTGAACTTCACCTTGTCTTGATATAAAGAATGTTGAAAGTTTAAGATGAATTGGAAAAGTGGCAAGTTTAAGATAGATGGGAAATGTAGAGTSGGAAGGAAGGCTACCAAGATCTGTTGGGTCTTGGTGGGAAAAAGATGGGAATACAKTTTTTATTATTTGGAAAAAAAATATTGAGTGTGTAATCCAATAGGTTGGCTTGTTCCCTGGTAACAGCAAACACGACCTGCAAACAATAATATTAGCAAAAAGACTATTAGTAATAAAAAACTGATGGAATCTTATTCGTCACTAAACGGGATGGAATGGTAACAATGAACAATCCCTGAAATGAACCTGACTCTCGAGTTGATACGCTGACAAACCTCGAAGTTTAGTTTCTAATTTTTTTATAAACAGAAAAAATAAATAAACATTGCAAAAAAGAGTGCCATTCTTGTTCATTCTTATCTCAAGACAACAAACAACCTCCAACTTAATCATAAGGGAGTTCATGTACACTCAAAGTTTATCTCCAAGGGAGGGACGTTACTACAAGTTCCCAAGAGCTKAGCATTTAAACTGCTTTTCTGGGTTCTAATAATTATTTTAATCCCAGGATTAAGGGAAAGATATTAGGACAAGCTCATTCGAGTTTTACATCAACGTACATTCCCTCAATCAGCCCTCAATCTAAACCCATAAAACAATTAGGTAGTCGAGTAGTAATACTAGCCTGCATGCAGGCGTTCCTCATTAGGGACAAAGCGATACTTCGCACGCAGGCTAGTAGTAATATAGTAATACAAGCAATTAAATATTGTGTGTGTGTGTGTGTGTGTGTGGGGGGGGGGGGGGGGGGGGGGGGTTCCCTTGTGATCCATTAACTTTAAAAATTACTTATATACACAAAAGAATATAATGGCATTGGAAACTATACTGTAAAACCTAGTACAGCTGTATAATAGTCTATAATTATTATATCTCATTTTAAKTTACTCATTTGTACTCAATGTGATGGAAGCCCTGCACTAGAAACAATGAAAAACTAATAATAAACAATTTCAAAACCCAAACCACGTGGCTAAACTATATATACGTATATACAAAAATATACGCCTGGAAACGACTGTTACTGTCCATTTTYCATAACCTTTCCACAGCYCAGTTATACCTATGACTTACCTGGTCAAAAACACCGCTTTATACTTTACTTTCGCCACTGGAAAAGCCCTCAAAGAAAGAAACAAAACATAGAAYGTTTAGTGTTTGACGCCATTTTGAATTTACCGCGTGGTTYGTGACCGTGAAAACCTGGTAACGATTCGCCGCAGGAAACCCAAACCAAAAGCGCAAACTGAAGAATTGCGCGGTCTGAATAAWWTTTYTYTKT